ATTTCTCCCCCTTCTTACTATTCTTTTTTAAAATTTGTTTTTTTTTTTTTTTTTTTTTTTTATCTAATATGATGGAACTGAAGAAAAGGCAGGTGGGGACTGTATGGAAAATCAAAGGCAGAGTTTATGGAGCAAAGCTGAAACTTGGAGTCACAAATGTGCATTCTATTTTATTTTGTCTGAGTAGCAAAGCTCTTGATTTTATTTATGTATGCGTGTAGAAGAGATGTCAGATTCCCTGGACTTGGAGTTCAAGTGGTTGTGAACTGCCTGATTTAGGTTCTGGTATCTGAATTCTGGTCCTCTGAAAGCATAATAAATGCTCTTAATCTCTGAGCTATCTTTCCAGTCCCAGCTTGCCTGGAACTTGCTATATAGATCAGGCTGGCCTCAATCTCACAGAGATCTGCCTGCTGAGTGCTGGGGTTAAAGGCATGAGCCGCCATGCCCGGCTCTTTTTTTATTACTAAAATGGGCATCATAATAGTTTATTTCTGTTGAAGAATTATTCGAATTGAATGTTAAAATGTATAGAGAGGAGCTTTGAAAACTTAAATAGTATATAAATAATTGCTCTAAAAAGGCCTAATGGGGTGGATAGATGACTCAGTTGGTAAAGTGCTTGCTAGCAAACCTGAGAACTTTTCAGATCTCCAACACTCATGTAAAAAGCTGGGTGTATCAGTGTGGGCCTGTAATTCCAGCACTGCTGAGGCAGAGAGAGGAGGATCCCTGGGACTTGCTGGCCAACTAGCCTAGCCAGTTGATGAGTTCTGTGAGAGACCTTGTCTGAAAAATAAGGTGGAAAAGTGATTGAGGGAGACATGAATGTCTACCTCTGGCGCACGCACGCACATACACGCCACACAAAAGGTCTTAAGAACATGGCCTGTTCACTTGGGCAGTAGGTAGAAGTTTTCAGCAGCTAGAATTATTAGGAAATCATCAGCTTGAAGGGCTTCCTTAGACCTATTTGAAACCTTTTTCTTAAATATATAAGCTAGGACAGAATTAAAATGAGTATCTTTATGTGAACACATTTTTACATATATGTGTAATAGTAGACCAAGGTATTTTGTTCTTTTTTTCTGTTTCAGAAGACCTAGATGGTGCTGGAGAAGAGTATCCCATGGATATTTGGTTATTGCTGGCCTCCTACATTCGTCCTGAGGACATTGTGAATTTTTCCCTGATTTGTAAGAATGCTTGGACTGTCACTTGCACTGCTGCCTTTTGGACCAGGTTGTACCGAAGGTGCGACCACAGAGTGCCACACTATTTTCTGTGTAGCTGATTTTGTTGCTGTTTGTGATTTGGAGCGTTCCCTGACTGGTGGCCTTTTTTACCTTTTCTACTCTGTACTGTGGCGTGACCTTAGCTTTGGACTCTTTGACACTTCTGTATTTAAATTTTATGTTATTGATTCATCCAGGTGATTGTCTTCCCTGTGGCTGCCACTTTTCCCATTCTAGTGTCTAGTCTTTGCAAACAGTATTGCTTCAGGTCCCAGAAAGAACTTAAACTTTCCTTCAGAAGTTTATCTTATTAAAATGCTCAAAAGTCATAGGTTCCTATCTGTTTATTTTTTCCCCACTGGATTAGTTGTTGCTTGGACTTCCTAGTCGTCTGGAAGAAGTGTCATAGTTTTTATACTTGTGCTACCTATGGAGAGTTACAGTGGTGAGGAGTGAGCAAGTTACGTGATCAGTAAAAGAGCTAAATTTTGATGTGGGGCACAGAGGTATAGTAGACTTTGTAGACTGTAAGACTGGTGGGAAGAGATGCTGAGGAAGCAGCAAGTAGAGAACTTGCTGAGACATCCAACAGGGAAATGTAGTGGCTCTTCTCCAGGGCAGGTTCTTTTTGAGCAACTATAGGATATTACACTATCATAAATTCAGAGATTAGTTCTTTTGTAAAATCTTTTGAAATAGTCTAAATTTGAATTAAAAAAGGTGGAGAAGTAGAGTTAACAAGGTGAAGAAGCAAAAGTCATTGAAAAGTTGAGGCGGTGATTTGTTTGTGTCTGAACACGGGCAAGCTAGTACCAGCCAGTAGAATAGTGGAGTAAAGTTCACATAAAGATCAGGAGTCCTAGTATGAGAACAGGAGAGGCAGGTCACATATTGGTAGGAGTCATGTGTCATGTTTCAGGCACTACACGCTGGATGCTTCTCTGCCTTTGCGCCTGCGACCAGAGTCCATGGAGAAGCTGCGCTGTCTCCGGGCTTGTGTGATCCGATCTCTGTACCATATGTATGAACCATTTGCTGCTCGAATCTCCAAGAATCCAGCCATTCCAGAAAGTACTCCCAGCACACTAAAGAATTCCAAAGTAAGTGAGACTTGGAATTGGAGTTTGGTTAATAGACTCTTGTATGGTGGGCCTGTTCCAGTGACTTGTTTTCACCCTCTTTGATGGGGAGGGCTGTTGGTCACAGGCTGTTAGGGACTAATATAAACTAGGATTCAGAGCTTTCATTCTCCAGCACATTCTCCCTGTTCTGGGATGACTTACCTTATCTTTTCCTTAAAGTTTTCTTGTGCTTTTAGTACACTACTTATTCTCTTTAACTTATTTTTATGCATTGTACATTGAACCACTTTAGATGTAATGGTTTTGATAGTTTAGGTTAGGACAAGCACAACTTGAATGGTAGGTGTATACTATGAATTTTACCAGAGAGATACTTCAATCATTACACAATAACATGAGTAACTCACTGATTATCTGTTTATAATAGAACCTTAGCATCTAAGATTCCATTCATTCTTGGCTCCTTTAAGGATTCTGTTCTAGACATCTTTACTTGCTAAGCCCTTGTGCCAAGCTTTTGCTAGGCTTTGGGATAGGTTGTCTCAGAGTATAAGGTATTCCAATTCATAGATGTTAGGATTTCAAAATTCTTTCTATGTTTAGGCTGTTTTTATCCCAGGATTCTCTGACTATTTTGTATTCATATATTATATTCAAGTTTCTGGCATTCTTCTGATTGGTAATTAAGTCTCTAGTCTTTGGCCCATTTTCTGCTCTTTTCTCTGATGAAAATCACCTTTGCCAAGCCCGATGAATGTATTAGAGACGACTATATAGGCAAGTTGATGCCTTAGCTATTTTCTTACTCTACTGATACCATTGTGTAAATTTCTTATCTTTTGAATTTGTAGGTAATTTTTGCTATTATGTTTTACTCAAAATGTGTTCTATGGCACTTTTATTCCTATTCTCTGGTGTGGTGTTTGTATTCTCACAGACATTATATGAGTCTCCTCTAGTTTAGCTCTAAGGTTATGGATACTAATTCCAGGAATTAAGGTCCTTTTGATTTCAAGATAAACAAGGTTCCCTCTCCCAACATTTATAAACAGGTGGCCAGGACCATTGACCTGACTCAGTTTACAGTGCTAACAGATGGGTTTAGGGCAGGAGTAGTGTGCTACATGGGTAGAGTTTCACCCTGCAGTTACTTCTGTTTGTAATATGAGTGGACCTTGTTACACTGACAGTGTCTTCCTCCCTAGAAGCATTTGATAGTATCAGACTAACTCTGAGGAGGGTGGTAATCATTGCAAAGTTAACCATGCCAGGAATGAATGAGTTGTTGGGAACTGGGCAGCATTGATTGGGTAAACTCCTCATGCTTGACACATCTTAGCGGCTCCAGTGCACAATGCAAGGGCTACTGCTTAAATTCTAAAGATTCCTATATCTTTATATTCTTATCATTGTATCTTTTTTTTTTTTTTTTTTTTTTTTAAATGAGTTTTGAAAAGCAAAAGGGGTTTGAAAATTAACTTTTTAATCCAGTAAGTAACACGCGGCTCTCTGTCTGCTCTTTTTTCTTTTGGGGTGGTCTTTCATGAGGGGGTGGGG